ACATACTTTTGGTGCCAGGCTGTGTAGGACATATTCATGTCTCAGTACAACTCACTTTGTTGGTTGAGTTAGAACAGTGGGCAGTAGGAATAATCTAGAAGCCATACAACTAGCAATAATGTTGCTTTACATAGAATGACTGCAAACCACACACACATATTCCAATATATAAATATATCGCCAATTAAACTCTCCTTCACAGGGTCTCCCAAATAACCTATAGTCACTTCAACATTACCATCAGACATGGGGGCACTGAAGGGAGCTGAGGTGGAAAGAGAGAGTGGTTTTAACTAATTATGGTTGAAATAATCAATTTTTGCAAATTTTATGAAAACATGACCATGCAAACATACTGGGGCCCCTTGTTGGCTTTGAAAGGACCTGTGCAAGTGGAGGTTCTGAAGCTCATTAGCTGCATGGAACATTGTCTCACCCTCCACGGCTCTTAACATCTTCCCAGCCCTCATCCCTGCTCTCCTGGATTATTGCAATGGCCTCCTGGCTCTTTCTTCCTTGCCCCTTTCAATATATTCTTAACACAGTGGCCAAAGTGATCTTGTAAAGACTGAAGTCAGATCGTGCCACTCTTCTGTTCAAAAGCCTCCAGTGTTTTCCCATCTCATTCTAAGTAAAAGCCAAATAGACCAAAGCTATGATCTGGTTGGCTCCACTACCCCTCCGCCCATCTTTTTGTGTTTACCCCTTTCTCACTTCACTCCAGCCATGCTGAAAGTCCTTCCGTTTCTGTAATGGTTGGGCACCCTCCCATGGGGTTTTGCATTTGCTATTCATGACACCTGGACCCCTTTCTACTAGATGGCTCCCTCTCACACCCCTTTCAAGGAAACCTTGCTTGACCTTCATATTTAAAAATGCAAACCCTTCCCATTACTTCTCCCTATTACTGGTCCCTGCTTCATATTTCTCCATAGAACACATCGCTATCTAACATACTATGTTTTGTCTACTGTTCATCTCTCCCTTCTCTAGAGTGTAAGCTCTGTGCAGCTGCAGATCTTTGTTTTGTTCACTGCTGTATCCCAATGCCTAGAGCCATTCCTGGCATCCAATGTCTGACTTCTGGTAAACACAGCAATCTCTGCCTTAAACTTCCTAATCTCTAGTCCCACCAGAAGAGCACAGGACCACCCTCTGAGAATGATCAGTGAAAGTACAATTACTAAAAGGCCAGTTTGCCCAAAAGAGAAGAACAAAGGTGAAATAGTGAATGGGTTTTCTAGCATTTGACTGAGTCATGTTTTTATAAAGAACTATTTCCTTGTAAAGTGAAACATCGAAGGGTTTGGTCACTGAACTGTAAACCTCCTGTACCTTCTCTCACTGTCCCTAAAGATGTAATACAGGGTCACTGTGGTATTAATAGGAAATTGCCAAATCATGTATCTCTTCTCAGTTCAAGGAAAAAAAGCACAAAAGAAAAAGAAAAGGCAGAAAAAGAGAAAGAGACATTTGAAATGTTTGTTCTTGTTTCTCTTTTCTTCATTTTCATTTTTATTTCTCCTTTTGACTTAAGGGAGATAAAATGGACCAAATGACAGAAAAGGAAGAGTCTCCCACTTAAGTCAGAGAATTGTTGGGATTCTGATGTGACAACTGGGCTTAGTACCAAGGAAAGGGCTATTACTTACAAATATAAAAGGTTTAAAAAATGTGAATGTAATAAAATAAAATTTCAAAAATTTTTAAAAACAGATAAAGGAAAATTATCAATGAACTGACATAAAAGTTACTAGAACCTTGTTGTATTCTCTTTTGGTTTTTTCTCATGTGTATTTTTTTTTACATACATGTTATAAGTGTTATACATGTACTTTTGTATCCTGATTATTTTCCTACTTTACTTCATATCAATTCAGTCTTTTGTGTGTCACATTTGTCTGCAAGCTGTAGTATATTTTATTTAGTCATTCATCTATAATTGAACATTTGTTGTTTTAAATCTTTCACTCTTATAAATCTTATTATGAATATTTAGTGCATATAGTATTTTTCTCATTATTTTCAACTATCTTCCTAGGATGATTTTCTACATGTGTAAAAACTGAGTCAAAAGTGATGTTCTTTATGGTTCTTGACAGTCGTTCTAAAATTGCTTTTTAATAGATTTGCACCAATTTATAAGCATCCTAGTGAAATACGAGAGTAATAATTTCACTACACACTCACAAGCATTTGATATGATAATTTTTTGTTTTGCTAATTTAATATTTGAAAAGTTTCTTATTTTAATATGTATTTTTCCTATCTCTAGTTTCTTGGATTATTTCCTGTTAGGAAATGCTAGTTCATGTCACTTGTGCAATTTACCTTTGGGGTATGTCTCAATATTTTTATTTCTTTTTATGAGTTGTAGATATACAATAGGAGCTCTGGTGGTGTAGTCATTAAGGCATCTGGCTGCTAACCAAAAGATTGGTGGTTCGGACCCATCAGCTGCTCCATGAAAGAAAGATGAAGCAGTCTGCTTCTGTAAAGATTTTCAGCTTTGGAAAGCCAATGGTGTCACTATGAGTCAGAATTGACTGGATTGCAATGAGTTTGGAATTTCAGAAATATATATAATGATAGAGATTTTAACCTATTATTTTAATTGTGAATATTTCTCCTAAAATATTTGTTTTTAATTTCTGGTTCTTGTGTCATCTGAAACCATTTAACATTCTCACATGGTTTAGATCTTTGCATGCGACTCCTTCGGGTATTAGTTTTAGAAGATTTTCTCCCTGTGGTCTTATTCCCAAGGCTTTAACAAGAATTTAATTCTGCTTTATCTCCCTGACTTTATTTTCTGTATCTGACTATCCAATCCATTCATTTTGATGTATGATACGCCGATCAAATTGATCTGTTCTTTAATATGAAATAGTTAATCAAGACCCCTCCTTTAGAGGTATTTGAAGATATCCTTGAGCAACACTGGACAGTAGAGGCTATGCCTATATGAAGAGTTCTTGTGCTCTGGGCCAAGGCCCTAGGTCTCTGGGGAAAGACAGTGGCAAGTATAGCCCCAAAGGACTTAAACTGTGATATGGTTAAGCGAGAACAGAAAACGGACACTAACCAGAATTAAGCTGGGAGTGCACCTAAGTGCCTGGCTGTGTTTTACCTTTCCCTTTGAATTCACTTATAAACACTTCTGAGAAATGCACGCCCTTCTCAAAATTAATAACTACTTGCCCTAGAGGTTTTCCTATCTTGTTAGAGTCCTTTTAAGTTTCAAGAATGCCACTGTCAGCTGAACTACTGCTTCATTCATCCATAAATTGTGCACCTGTTGTGTGTAGAGTGCTGTGCAAGGCACAATGTGTGTACATATGTGGGATACAAAAGTAATAACCCACGAGCAACCATGAGTTATACTGAATGATGAAATGAAAGGGAGATGAGAAGAAAATCGAGGCAGCATAACCCAGTGTGGAGATGGCTCCGGCATGCCAGTCTGGATGGTGTGATATGTGGCAGGCACTGTGGCAATAAGGGGTAGCATCCACCTCTGTCGTCCTTTGGCCTTGCACCTCCACCCTGCGTTCTCTTAGAGCACCAGCACACACAGACATCTCACCTCGCTTTCTTGCACTTGACCAGGCAGCCAAACTCACCCAAGCAAGGTCTCAAAGATTTTGCAAGGGTCTTAAATCCTGGTGGAGAGCTAGGTGCATTAGCCTGGGAGTCAGTCTACCCTCCACCCTCTTCTGCCCCACTGAGCGTGAATGATGAAGCGGCCACAGCGGGAAGGCACTTCTGACCTCCTGGTCCGGGTTCCCACCCCAACCTCTAGGTTCGCGGTTATCTCTCTTTCTCCGTGCTCACAGCACCCAGACCACAAACCCGAAACCGCTCGTTTTTTCTTTGCTGGGACCTTGTACAATATTTTCTTGACTTCGCATCTTTCAACTAGCAGAAGGGCGGAGGGGAAAGCACCGCATACCTCGACCCCATTCCCAGTTTGGCACAAGCGTGATAACAACCACGCCTCTTGACCTGTAGGCAGGGCTCCGGTCACTTTGATCTTGAGAAAGAAAGAGGATCCGGTCCATTTAACCTTAGTAGGGTGGATCCAGATCCCCAAACCTGTCAATAGTGAACGTCCAAGGCAGTCGATGTCGCTGTTCTCTCCCGGACAACCTGGGAATTCACCCTTTGAGACGCCCCGCCTCGCTCCCTCCTACAGGCTCCGAGGACCTGGTGAAAACAAAGGGTGTTTTTCAGGGTGCGCTGTGAGACCTGGTGAAGCCGGCTGTCCCCTCCCCAACTTCTGCACCTCCCTGGCCGGGGAGCCGAAGACCGCGGAAGGAGTGAGAGTGGGAAGGGCAACACCTCTGACGCCAGGATGACTGATTGCTACGGAGAAAGTCCCCTAAGACTGTGACCCCGGAGGTGGGGGGGGGGGCTGGAAGATGGGGTAGATGCGCTGGAAGATGCTGTGATGAGACCTGGAAAAACCACCAAACCCAAACCTTCGGCCCAGAGTGGCCCAAGGACCCCAAAGACTGCGCTGCGCCTCCCTGGTCCCCCACCCCCACCTCAGCGTCATCTCTTGTGGGTGGGCTTCGCATTCCCTCCGGGGTTTCGGAGCCACCACGTGACTTCCACTAAGTGCCGGGCCCTAGGGGAAAGCTGAGACAGGGGTGGGATTTGGGACCCCGAGGTGCGGCGAGAGGGCGAGAGAGGAGGAAATGAGGCGGGGGTGGAAGAAGAAGGGGCGGGGCTGACTTGGGGACGGGAAGGACCGAGGGCCGACGGAGGCTTGGGGGTGGGGAGCCCCAGGACGGCGCACCGCTGCGGGCTGAGCAGGGACAGCAGGAAGCCCGCGGGGGCGGGGCGGAAGGGGCCGGGCAGCCGGCAGGTGCCGGGGCGCGAGGATGCCCGGTGTGGGAGAGTCCCCTTAGCAGCGCAGAGGACTGGGCGCGGCGGGCCGGCGGCCGCTCCTCCGCGAGGCTGCGCGCCGGGCGGGCCGGGCCGGAGGAGCGCCGGGCATGTCGCAAGGGCTCCTGGCTGCTGGCAGCGTCCTGCAGAGGAGCGTCGTGGCGCCCGGGAACCAGCCGCAGCCTCAGGTAGTAGGCTAGAGCAGCGCGGGAGTGGGGACGCGAGGAGGTGGGCGCTGAGGTGCGGGGCTGGAGGGCGGCAGGGCGGACCTGGAGCCCCGGCGTGCCCTTCTGCCCAGCCTTCCCTAGCGCACTCACAGGAGGAGAGAGGCTGGAGAGCGCCGACGCCTGGCTGGTTCCTTACGACCGCACTCCCAGCACGTGGGCTCCGCGCTGTCCAGAGCGCAGCGCCATCCTTGTGCGGCCGGCGGCTGCCATTGTACTGCTTGAGCGCTAGCCCCTTCCCGTCCGCTCCGAGTGAAAGTCTGGAAGTGGAGAAGAGAATTCGGCTCAAGGCGCGACTGGTGCCCAGCCACTCTCAGCACTCCATCTGGCGCCGCTGGCATGGAGAGCGCGAGATAGATCAGACTGGGATTGCGGGGTGGGGGCCCCCAGCGGTGGGCACAGGCTCCGCCCCCAACGCTGGTGGAAACCCCTCTCCCACGTCCAGTCAGTCCTCTTAGCTGCCCCACGCAATATTTACTACCGCACACTCGGGAAGCTGAAACAAGATTGAGCTCAGGGAGGGTCGTCCGCGAAATTTTGCATTCAGCAAAGGACCAGCACTGGGTCTTTTCATTCTCTATGGTCCCACGGAGCAAGGTGCCTAGCACATATGTCATCGGGCGACTCTAGAGAGTTGTAAAGACCTGAGTTTGGGACTCGACTTTGCCACACACGGGCTGACTAGCCTTGGGCAATTTGCTTAACTTCTCTGAGCCTCAGTTTCCCCATCTGTAAAATGAATATAATAACATCAACCCATCAGGATTTGTATGAGGATTAAATGAAATATGGTTAATACCTATATGAATATTTCAACACTTTGCTCACCTCTTTCTGTCTTGATTAAATGTTTGCTGGATTGTCAGGCATTACCAGATAAGTGGTTAAGTCAGGTATAGATTGTCAACTCCCAGAGGGAAAGTTGCTTTTTGTACAGTGACTAACCAAACCAAATCAAACTCACTGCCGTGGGGTCGGATCCGACTCATAGCGACCCCTCCTTGGGTTTCCAAGGGGGTATCACTACAGAAGTAGATTGCCCAACCTTCCTTCTAAGGAGTGGCTAGTGGGTTTGAACCGCCAGCCTTCTGTTTAGCAGTCAAATGCCTTAGGCACTACACCACCAGAGCTCCCTGTACAGCGACTAGTGCCCTAAATACGATGATGGTGAGTGAGGAGGCAAGATCTGGTGGCAAGCAGTATGGCAGATGCAATAAATAGCAGCAACCCCAACAGAGACAAGTAACTTATTCAGAGCATACTGTGTGCTGGAAGCTTTAAGACAAACATCTCATTGCATGGTAAGAAAAGAGCCTAAGCATTAGGCTGCTAGATTGAGATCATTTATCCTGATGCTTAGGACAGTGGCTAGCATGTAGTAGGTGCTCAGTTAGTATTTACTGGAAAAATGAATGAACCACACTTACAATAGATGATGAAATTGAAAATTGAGATAATTTAAGCCATTTATCCAAGGTCCGATTGATAGTAAGACACAAAACCAGGTTATGTGTTATGCTAAAATTAAAATTTTGTCCTCTACACCCCATTTTCCTACTCCTTTTCTTTCTCACATTTCTTTAGTGTCTAACTGTAATATCCTGGTTATTCTGTTTATCAAGTCTTCTTTGCCTCTAGAAGCTTTTATTTTTACACTTTGTCTCTTATTCCTTGAGTGTTGTCTCTAGGTCATACCTTTTTGTCCTGTACATTGTTTATCCTTCTCCTTGTACTGAAAATTTCTTTACCTGCAGCAACTTGAGAGGATGTAGGTCTTGCCTTCTTAGAATATAAGAGCAGATAAAATAATAATATTGTGTTTTTAATGTTTTTACTTTCTCAATATTAATAATTGAGTGGCTTCCCTGTGTTTGTGCTCCACTAACCTCTTAGTTTTAAAATTCCTTTAAGGGTGGGTCCCCGCCCCCCTTGGTATCTTCTCACAGGGTCTATACTATTCTACTTCTCCAGGTTTTCTCTAACTGCATGAAATGTTTTTGTCATGGTGGATGCATTCGTCTGTCTACCTGTTTCATGATAGCTCTTGTAGGATTTAGCTAACTGTGGCTAAATCTCATATATACTATAGATTATAAATTTGCTTCCTGATTCACTTTGACTTCTGAAACAAAATGGCAGCCAAACCTTGTTCAAATGAGCACACTATCCATTGGTAGAGTTATGTGGTTGTGATTAGTTATAAGTAATCATGATCTGCATACAGTATCCAAAGTATCGGTTTGTGTGGGGTATTCGGAAACCAGGCAGGCACACAGCAAGTTCCGGATGCCCTCTTGCTTTCCCAGTCTTGTATGAGCAGTGTTGACATCACAACTCTTTCAGCACATGCCCTGGAGAGGTGTATGAACATTGGTTTGGAGCCCAATAGACCTGAGTTCCACTTCCCATTCAGCTATTTAGTAGCTGTGATACCTGGAGCAACTTCCTTAAGCTCTCTGAGTTTCTTATTCCTCATCTTTCAAATAGTGGTCACACCACATATTTCGCAGGGTGGGGATTAGCAGCTGAGCACAGTGAATGCTCCTTAACAATGAGCTACTGCTATCCCAGGAGCCTTGCTGGGGCAATGGTTAAGAGCTCCGCTGCTGACTCAAAGTTTGGCAGTTGGAACCCACCCAGTGGCTCCATGGGAGAAAGAACTGGCCATCTACTTCCAGAAGGATTACAGCCTAGGAAACCCTATGGGGGCAATTCTGTGTCATTTGGGGGTCACTGTGAGTCTGAATTGACTGAACAACACCTAACATCATTGTTATCCCAGGAATGTATCACAACAACTGCTGCATACTGCAAATAAAATGATAAAGCTTGACAAGCAATGCTGAGTAAAGAGAGAAGGGTAAGGTGAAGGGGGTCTCAGCTTCACACTTGACCAAATGTTTTCCCCCAGAGTCCTGAAGATGATGACAGGAAGGTCCGAAGAAGAGAAAAAAACCGAGTTGCTGCTCAGAGAAGTCGCAAGAAGCAGACTCAGAAGGCTGACAAACTCCACGAGGTAAAACTGTGTTTGGGGTAGAGCCATATTGAAGCCGCTTGGAGGAGTGGCCCTTTTGCTTTGCACTAGTGGTACTGATGATGAGGTCCCAACTGTCACCACCAATTTAGCAACACACACAGCACAATTCCACTGGATCTATGGGGCTACACCAATGGTCCCTCAGCCCAGTGTTCCAATTCTTTGCTCACTGACATCTTCATTTCTCACTACACAGTGGTTCCTTCTCACACTCAAGTTTCTTTCATTAACAGAAGGAAACCATACAAAATCTTCTTTCAATCCTGATTCCCTTCTGAGCTCTTATTGTTGCTTGTCTTTCTGTCCCTCACTTCCCTACTTCTTAAAAAGATGATCTTACACCTACTGCTTCTATGTCCTCAGTCCCAGACACTGTTTTAAGATTTAATCTATTCTCCCAATATCATCTCCCAACCAGGCAGGACCTCTGTCCTGCACCTTAGACTTCACGTCTCCAGATGAGTCTGCTGTAGGCTCCTCAGAAGCAACTTATTCATAACAGAATGCTCTGGGATTCTGGGATTTAGTTCTGCCACCATACCCACCCCTACACAAACTTCTACCAAAGCTGCTCTCACTGAGGCCTCGAGTGTCCCATACACTGCCAGATCCTGGGGCCTCTTTTCTGATCTTATCATCATTGACCTGTCTCACTGGAACACTGGATACCATTGATCACCCCTCTTCTGGAAGCTTTCCCCTCTCTAGCTTTTTTTTTCTTGCCCCCATCCTGTTTTGTTTTGATCTTCAAACAATACAAAGAAGTGAAACGTCTGATGCCAAACCATGCAAATAATAATAAAGGAACAGAAATAATATAAACAACAAAAAGAAAATCACTTTAAAAAAAAAGTACTTCACATTTCACAGAAGTGCTTTGGCAGTATTGGCAATTAATCCTGGTAACTGCTTCCAACAGCAGGGAGGTGGATGAGACCCCTGCTCACCCTCAGCAAAAGTACAACCACATTTACTCCTGAGAGTTTATACTCCAAGTCACTACACACCACACTGCTCCACTCTGCAGACTTTTGTAAACTTGATCTTAAGATGTACCTGGATACTGTACTGAATCACAACAAAAAATACCCTAAAACCAAAGTGGCAGAAAAGTAAACAAACTCCAAAGTTTCCAGTAAGGCATCAGGAAATTGTTGTTGGTTGAGTCTTTCATTTTACCGACTTAAAGAAAACTTTTGCTTTGTATTTCTCGGCAAACCTAATTCATAAGCTTAACCAACACACTCAAGTCAAAGCTTTTAAAGACAATCCCCACCTTTTTCTTTTTGTGATAAATGTTTCATATAAAATATGAAATCAAGTGCTACTTTATAAAAAATGAGTGCTTTTAATAGTAAAAATACATATGTTTTTATTTTTCTTTTTAAAAAGACATAATAACAATACTTCAGAAGACCGGGTTTAGGCCCGTGCCTCACCCCCACCAGCTGTCCACCTGGCACAGATACATTAAGGCAAAGACTCTTGGAGAGGCAGGCACACCTTAGCTATGGGCTGGGGATGCCACATGAACACACTCTGCTCCCACAGGGCAGCAGAAAGGCTTCTCCCTCATGCTCACGGAGCCATCCTGCATCCCAAAGGAGACTCTCTCTGCCATGTTGATGAACAAGCCTGTGCCTACCATGCCTGGGATCATTTTGATAGCAGTATTCACTTCACTCCATTTGTGAACTTGGTCAAACTTCCAGTCCAGGATAAAATTCCCATTGTTGGTCACCACAGGACCTGCCTTATTGATGGCCATTTGTAGTTCAACCATACCTCCAAACTTCTGCGTCACAGCTCGGCTCACAGGGACGTAGGCCGTTGGGATGACCTCAGTGGGGATTCCCTTATGCCACTGATGCCCAAGGTTCTTTGAATCCTTCCTGAAATCAGCAATCACAATGAAGTGGCTGGCATAGCCAGCCACAATCTTTTTGTGGGTCAGGCAGCCTCCACCACTCTTGATGAGGTTGAGGTCAGCATCTACTTCATCAGCACCATCTATATGAGATCAGTCTCTGGGTGTTGCTCCAGGTCACTAAGGGTTAAACCATATTGCAAGATGAGCTGATGGTCCTGGAAGGAAGTGGGAATACAGATGAGGTTCAGATATTCTTGTTTCACTCTTTCAGCTATCCGCTGCACAGCATGGACAATTGTAGAACCACTTCCAATTCCTAGAAAGAAGTTTGCTTAACATTGCTCCTCACGTGGTTCTCCACAGTTGCATGGCCCACTAGTTTCTTGGCCTCTTTGGCCTTGGACATTGTAGAGGGGGCCAGGAAGACGAGGGTGGCACCACCACCACTAGCACCGGTGCTGTTGATGTGGCCTCAGGACCCAGACTGCATGCGCCCTGGTGGCTGCACGTGGGAGCCAGGGGTGGCCCAACTGTTGCCGCCTCCACCAGAGAGGGTGCTGAAGGGTCCCGTTTTTTTTTTTTTTTTTGAAAGCAGTTCATGTTTTATTAACTGAGCAGATTACAAAAATAGTCATGTTAGGCAGCTTGGTTCATCCTTCTAATAAGCCTATTGAGCTGGTCTTCCCTGTTGCCAGCATCTCCACCTTCTACAAAATGAGTGGTCTTTTTCTTCATTCCACCTCATGGAGAAGATAATTTGAAGGGCCACAGGAAGTTGTTTCCTTCTTTGAAGCATTTCTCAATGGTATAAATGGTATAAATCTCATGAATCAGATCCTCCATGCAGATGATGCCAAATCTCATGAATCAGATCCTCCATGCAGATGATGCCATATCTGTCAGGGCAATTCACTTGTCATTGATTTTGTCATAACCGTGCTTGTAGATCAATTTGTTCGCTGACTTCAGATTTGGATACCCCCATGCAACATATGGTTCCAGAATCCTCAGCATGTTAGTTGAAGCCTTATTGAGCTTAACAAAGGTGCCACTGAAGATCTGGAGAAGGCAAAAAAGCTGTAACACCTTTCGAACCTTTTGGCTCACACCATTGATACCTCTGGTCCTAATAACAAGTGACAGTTTGGGTTCTCCAGGTACATGGAAGTTGCCAGCTTTCCTTGCCATTCTAGCCATTTGAATCTCAGTTCTGCACATCTGCCTGTATTCCTTGTGATAGCTCATAGATACGCTTCCTCCTCATCTTTTGAAGCATCTTTTAGGCAAACTTCTTTCTCAGAAGCTCGATCTTTAGTTCTACGAAATTCCTTCACTTTTTCTTAAGAGTTTCTGGTACAGCAGGCACCATCTTTTTCTTGCCTTCATCACCCTCCATGCTTCCAACCACACACACACACACACACACACACAACTCTCTTCTTTAGCTTTTAAAAAGCCATTTTTTTCTAGTTCTCTTGCCCCTTTTATCACTTTGCCTCAATCTCTTTGTTAGCTTTTTCTTTTTTTTTTAAACCCCTGTTTTCTTAAATGTTGGTATTGACAGGGTTTTGGACTCTGCTCTCTTTTCTTATCACCATGGATGATTTAATAGAAGCTTTGTTTTCTAGTGGCACTGCTGTGTCACTGTTGCTGAGGTTTCACTGGCCAATTCTTTCAGAAGTAGATGGCTTCTTCCTTCTTCTGAGTCTGTCTTATTCTGGAACAAGTCCATCTTGGAACAAGCCGGAATGCTCTTTGGAAGCGAGAATGGCCAGACTTCATCTCACCTGCTTTGGTCATGTTGTCAGAAGGGACCGTTCCCTGGAGAAGGATATCATGCTTGGTAAAGTGGAGGGTCAACAAGAAAGGGGAAGATCCTCAAGGAGATGAATTGACACAGTGGCTGCAATGATGGGCTCAGGTATAGCAAGGATTGTGAGGCCGGCACAGGACTGGGCAGTGTTTCGTTCTATTGTACATAGGGTCTCTATAAGTCAGAGATGACTTGACAGCATCTACAACAACAACTGGTGGCACAGTGGTTAAAGCATTGGGCTGCTTACCAAAACATCAGTGGTTCAAACCCACCAGTCACTCCATGGGAGTAAGATGAGGCAATCTGTTTCCGTAAAGATTTACAGCTTCAGAAACCTCAGAACTCAGGCAGTTCTGCTCTGTCCTATAGGGTTGCTATGAGTTGGACTTGACTTGATGGCAGTGGATTTTTGAGGTGGAAGATTTAATCTGTTTTTCCAACACGAGCTCCCAACACTGGTAACTCTCAGATACACATCTTCAGAGGAAGACTCCCTGTCCTGAATCCTAGACTCCTTATTCCCAGTGTCTGCTTAGATGTCCCCAGATGGTTTTGCATCAGGCTCCTTGCATGCAACCTATTTATAACATAATGTCTGTTTGCCCTGAAACATCCTCTTCTCACTGTCTTAAGATTGTATTTAATGGTGCTAACCATCTTTCTTGTCACCCAAGTCAGGAGCCTGAGATTTATCCTAAGCTGTAAACATTTTTCTCAACTCCTACGCACAATCCCACAGCCAGGACATGGGGGCTGTTTCATTCAGAAACTGGCCTAGAAGACATCCAAGGATCTATCCAAAGATTTGCTGACAATTCTGCCTTCTTGTCCTTATACTTGATCAATGTGAATAATTAAGAATTTTAGTTTAGCTCTCTCCTGTCATGCTTCCTTGCCTTGATTGTCTCAGCAAGGCCAGCTTGGGATGAGGTGAGGGGATGAGGGCCTAGCAATGTAGGAGACTCTGAGGTGTTATGGGAAAAAAAAAAACTATCTCCAACAACCTTTCCCTTAACAATGAACAGAGAATAGATTTAGTAGGCATATACTTCATAGAGGGTGACCTACTGATACAAATTCACAGTACTGGCACAAATTATAAATATCAGATTTTTTCCTGGGAGCAGGAAGGCTGGGCCCTTGAAAGAGAAAATGATTGTATGACAGTTGTTGTTTCATAGTTATACCACATAAAATCTACCCTGACTGTGGCACAGGAATTCCCAAGGTATGGTTGGAAGGGTTTCTCCTGGCTAGCATCAGGGGAAGGTCCTTCCCATCCCTTGTTAGTTC